GGATATTTACATTGGAGTATTTGAACTTGGAAGTTGAAAAATTCGAACTGGAATAATTAAGTTTACAGGGTTGAATTTAAAAGTTAGAATTTGAAAGCTTGAATTTCAGTTGAAACGGAGAATTCGTAGCTTAGCTATGCGAGCGTGAAATTGATTTGAATAGAGCAAATTGGCAGTAGTTAGAGATTAATTTAACGCAGACGTGTGTTCATTCCATCGTGACGAAAAAGAGAAGATCACGTGAAAGTTGTCCCTAATCAGTTTATTGATCGTCTAGCGGCGTAAATCGCGGTAATTGTTAATAAACCGATAATTTCGCGAACGCGAATACGCGCCGCGGATCCGGCGCCCCGTGTAACGCTCGTTTCATGCGCTCTCAATGAGGCGCGCCGCGCAATTAATGGTCATTTGCTCTTTTACAGCCCATTAAATGTCAACTAGAGTAACCTTTTTCTTTTTACTTCTACACGGATCCCTCAACCAGCGCATTATATTCTCTATAATTAGTTCCGACTTTGTGTTCACATAATCTCCCGTCCCGTACATTGTAATAACCATTAACGGACTTCCGCGATGAAAATTATGGTTAATGGCGATCGATCGCCTATTAACTCTATCCCTCCAGTAATTTATTCCATCCTATTACCGCTGACCTCTGTTTACACTTTCTTGAATTCACTAGTTAATCGTTTAATTCCATCTAACTGCATAAATAATTCTTCCAACGGAACGTCACTTCAACGCACTTTCAACGCACTTTCAACGTACGTTACGTTTCATCCTACTAAGAATCCCCTATTTTACAATTCAAAACACGATCAGTACCTTCCTATCATTTTCGTTTATAAACATAACAAAACCTGCTATCAATATTAAAGAATCTACAATGAACAAGAAAAACTTCCTGCAACACCTCAATTTTGAATCAAAGCATCAAACGAAATTACCATTACCTTTCATCGACATGTTTCCAAACTCGAATCACAGAAAATGATAATTAGGCTTTCATCTTTGAAGCTCGCAGTTCACCGTGTCCCAAATTTCCTCATTCGTCCATTCATTTCCAATTACCCTCGTTACCCGTCGCCCCGGGGTAGAAGCACAATGGCGGACCATCGACGGAACGGATCCGCCGCGGTCGGGAACACTGTTTCTCACGCGAGTTGCAGTGTCGACGCGTTTATCACACGATTCCTCGTCTCCTGTTTTCCACGTTGAACGCGTACCAGCCGCGAACCATGGGGAACACGATCGCGCGGAGTCATAGATGTATGTGGAACGCGCGAGAGGCACGCGGCGACGTACATATACGACGTGGGACGTGATCGCATCGCGGGGGGAACGTATCGGGCCACGTGTAATCCACTCTTCACGAGGTGGCCGCGTCTAATTTTCAATTCTCATGATTGAATTATGTATGCGTGTAATGGAAAACTCGGGGATTTCGTCTCGGACGGATAACTCAATTTCCAGGCCCCCACTTTCGGCCGGCATTCCTGCGGATCCTCGTTTATCTTCGCGGATCTATCGACTCTCGAACTGTACAAAATATTCTACGAGACGAAGAATTTTGATTTAGTGACGAGATACTGACTAATTCAAAGAGTATAATTATAAAGAGTGCGAGAATCAAAGTTATTATCCAATTTCATTTGAAGATATCAGAAACTCAATATAAAGAGTGCGAGAATCAAAGTTATTATCCAATTTCATTTGAAGATATTAGAAAGTCAATATAAAGAGTGCAAGAATAAAAATGTTGAGTTTCTAATATCTTCAAATGAAATTGGATTTAGAAGACATCGAATAATCTTTTGTTCATTTGTTAGCATTAGCGTGATATTTTTGATATGAATTTTGATGTTTCCAAATTTAATGTTCCTTTTTTAACATAATACTATCGATGTTGCATTGAAACTATAAAAATTGATCATTGATGGCAACAGAGTTAATCGTTTTATCGGATTGAAAATAATACTGAGACTCTATCGCCACGGATCAAAGTCCCTCGAACGAATGAATTTTCCTCGCGGACAATAGACAAAGAATTCCTTTCTTTGTTCCTCGAGGGGAACGCGTGCAGCATGGTCGACCAGAGGCGATTAAACTCGGCCGAACTCGATGAATTACGCGTCGGGTATTCTTTTCGAGAGCGTACAGCCGGCTAATGCAAACTGTCGGCATTTTAACGAGCAAGTATCGGGCCTGGTGTCGCCAATCTCGCCCCATTAAGATGCCGATAGTCCGCATTTGTCGCATATTTTCGTCGGGCTTTATTTGGCGGCGCTCGGCTGTCGGAATCCGAGCTCGATCGTCTCCTATCTTAATAATTGCTTTGTAGATTTTATGCTCCATTGTCTAGATCACTGTTCAATGAATAGGATAACTCATCCTAATGAAATTCCCTCATTTTAAAATCTTCATTTAAATCAACCTTTCTCTCAACCCTGTTTCTCAATAGTTACCTTCCCATTTCTTCATAAATTCCAGAATATTTCAACATTACATCTCCAATTACTCTCCTCTAACGTCAATCTCATTCCATAATTCATCCCAGAGTTCACCAAATCACCATCCAAAAACACCTACAACCTCACCAACCCGTTTCTCACCCCTATCCCCCAACAATTCCCAACTCTATCCATTCACAACCTCTCAAACACGCTCCAAACCGAAAACATCCTCCGCAAACCCGGTCATCCAGCCTCAACCGCTTCTCCGTCCACCGCGAGTCCCCGTTTCACGACTCATTCGCCGCGAGAGCATTCACTAAATCGTAGCGTTTATCGCGACGCGGACCATAAGCGAAAATAAACCGTGCACGCCGTTACCGCGCATCCTCGTCGAGATTGAAGGCCAGCGTCCGGCTAGAAATCAGAAGTTTTTCGCCGGTCCCCCGTCGAACGCCGGCTCGCCGGCCGTAAATTCCTCATCGAACGAGTCCGCGCTTTCCGCCGGGGGCGCGGCGGTTTCCGGGCCGTCGACGAGTATTTACGTCGCGGGTTTCGGGCAGGCCGCGCCGCGCCGCACCGCGGAAATCCCCGGACGCGCGCGCTTTTATGGATCGTAAAGCGGCCGCGACGGCTCCCGCGAAAAATAGGGGAGGAGCGCGCGAGTACAGTAAATCGCGGCGCGTGTTGCAAAATTCAATCGGGCCGCGCGCGGCCGAAGGCAGGAAGTGGACCGGCCGGGGAGCGTAAAACGAAACGTGCGCTCGTTTCCATACACCTACCCGCGGCGCGAGAGGACTTTCACGAGTCCGATCGCTATCGCCTCGTAATTCCTCGGTTGCGCGCCGCGCCGCGCCGCGCATCGCCGCCGCCGCCATTTTTTCCGGGCCCGGACACTTCGGCCGCTAAACGGGGACCGACTACGAGCGACTTCGTTCTCGCCGGAGTAATTGGCCGGCCGCTCCGTTCGCCGGCCGGATCGTAAAGCTGTCATAAACCCGTTGAACGCCGAGTTTACTCGTCATTTGTATTCCATTATTATTCTCCATTGATTCCGCGCCGTTTATTTCCTTCGATGGATTCTTCGTACCCCTACAAACGGAGCTAATCGTGGCTGGGTTTTAATTGCATAGGGTAGTTTGGTTTCGAGATTGCCGGGATTCAGGCTTTCGTGAAGCGTTGACGTTCGATTCGTTGGATTTTTTTTTGTCATTTAGCGAGGTGTGGGTAGTTTTTTGAAGGGATTAGGAAGTTATTGATTTAGTGATGGGTGAAGTGGGATGTAAGTGAAACGCGATAAATGTATTTGTTTACCTCTTTGCACTCGAAAGGCGACTCTCAGTCGCCGGATGATTTGATAGAGCAACATTATAAACTTTGGTATTTACCATTACCCTCTGTATGCTACATCGATACGTGATAGATTGAAAGAAAATAGTTTTAGTTCCGTAACTCATATGTGATTTCTTAATCAATTCATTTCAAAGTATCTCGTCTGCATCTAATTAGAACGTATTGGATATTTCAAGTGAGAATCTCTCGAGTGCAAAGGGTTAATGTTGAAGGAAATATATAGTGAATTTGACTGGTTAATGGTTCCAGTGTTCAGTATTGTTCAAGTAACATATTAGAGTAGAAATTTGAATGTTTGAGATGCGAGAATATAAATTGGAAATATATCAGGATGGAAATCTGTTAAAAAGTCGCGAAACAAAGTAGTTAGTCGTCGCTGGAAAGCGTCGTTCTGCAGATTCAAAGGGGTGAGCGAACGTTGTGTGGAAGCGTGGCTCGCTCACGAGAGCAATGGAGATTTACAAGGGTAGCCAAGGGACCAGGGTGCAACAATCGCGATAGGGCACGGTTTTCAGACACATTATAGGGTGGTTTAACCGGCGCGGTAACTAGGGGAGGCAGTTTCTGGGGCGATCGACAATATGAGCCCCGCGGACCATTGTCTTGCAAATCCTTGGTGATTTTATTGCTCGTCCGCGATACATTTCACGGTGTCTGGGCTAATACGTCGGCGGATCTGTCGGGCCAGTGATTGGCGCGGTGGGAATAGCCTGGGAAAATTGACGAGATTTAATTGCGAACCGTGATTTATACTGGTGCGAATGGCTGGCCTGCTATACGCGAAGGGAAACTGGTAATAATAATGAAGCATTAGATTCGAAACCAGTAAATTTCATTTCAGCAATTAAAATCCTTCATTCTCTTCTGCATATTCCATTCGTTTTATTTTTCCCCGGCGCTATTGTTATTCAGGGCGTAATAAATTCCAATTTTATTGGTGCGCGCGTTCGTATCGCGCGGCATAGAGGTATATCTAAATTAATAGTGGAGCAACGTTAAATAGGAATCACTTAATTGAATTTCTAGAGTTCCTCCTCCTCCTCCGAGAGAGAAAGAAATTAATAAACAGAAAAATCCCTGGTAATTACACACGATTTGAACTTATTCTTATTCTAAAGTATTTTACTGTTGCCGCGAGAGTTATGGGCGGAGTCTACTTAAACTTTAATTAATATGGTAATGTTCCGCGCGTTTCAGATAAACGAGGTCCAAGATGTCGGTTCTCCTGGAAGCTAGGTCCTACAGGCCTTTCAAGTCCTCCGAGGAGTACCTAGTGGCGATGAAGGAGGACTTGGCCGAGTGGCTGAACGCACTCTATCCGGAGCTGAGAATCAACGTTGACAATTTTATGGACAGACTGGACACCGGCGTCGCGCTGTGCAAAGTAAGTGGCCGCCGAACGATTTACGTGTTCCTAGAACCATAAAGTCCGCTTCTCCTTGCCCGCCGCGCGCTAGGAGCGACTCCGCGCGGGACATTATCAAACATAATAGCCTAATGCAGTCACTTAATACTCGTTGCTAACGATATTCTTGTTCCCGTATGATGCTCGTTACTTATTGGCCGCTTAGCGAGGTCCGGCCAGTATTGGGTTGCCGCGCGTGAAATCGCCGCCGGAGAAATTTCAACGAATATCTTTCACTTCCTGACCGTTTTATTCAAACTAAATGATTCCCAATGTGTCAGGGTCCAATAAACGGTTTTACGGTACACGAAAGTAAATCAGAGGGGACGGGCTACTCGCGAGAAACAATCAACGGTTCTGACACGTCTCGATGGTAACTGTATTCGTTAGTCAAAGTTTTTGCATCGAATATTTCCCGGTGACGCGCGTATTGTCAACATCTAAACATTATATAGTATATCCCTTTGCGGTCGGGAGTGCTCTTGGTTTCTCGCTTTGAGGTCCACGTTGACGTTAGTTCATTCGATTACAGCTTAACGCTTTGCCAACCGAAGACGGAGATCTCCCACTTTTCATTTGGCAACGTATCGCCTTTTATGTTTATCTTTTCTTTTGTTATTTAGTAAGTTTTGACGTGGGATTATTTGCAATTCATCAAATACGGTTCTTGCTTTTACAAAACATAGTTTTTAAATTAATTGAATGAGTATAATTGAAGATAATGGAGAAGGTTGTAGTTATAGTTCTTTCTAGGTCGCCTAAGTGTTATATGACGCTCTATTTATTTATTCAAAAATATTCGAGAGTCATTGAAATGTTACCTTTAAATGGTACAATTGTGACACTACAAATATATATAGAAAAAATTGTTAAAGGTAGAGGTTGCAATAAAATAGGATGTCGAGTCTGACTCGACATAGGACTGCTAAGGGATATAATTCCCAGGAATACTGAAAAGTTACGCGCGCTCTCGAAACAAACGTTAACTAGAAATGTTCGTGTAAATACCGAAATTCCCGACGAGTTGCGAGGATGTTTTTTGGTCATTTGGAAACGTCGGAATTGAACGTTTCTGGCGAATCGCGCCGGCACGTCGGAAAGTTCGTGGGTCATTCAGAGTACCGAGAAACTTCTTGGAGATTCAGCTCGCGGGTAAAACGCGCGCGTGACGCGTGCGGCTTGCGCACAGCGTTAAATGGAAACGCGTAAAAGCACGGGGGGCACGTATACCTTTCTTCGTGGCCTGCGAAACAGAGGAAGGGAAGGATGCGTGTGTGACGTCCACCGGAAGCTGTTGCCTCGACGCCGGCTGAATCATGAATCAGCCCGGCCGCGTGTAGGAAACGTTGTGACGCGGGCAGAAACGAAAGAAAGCACTCGGCGCACGCACACACACGCGCGCGCATCACGCTGGAAACATTTTCTTCGTTTCCCACTCTCGGTTTCCTTTTTCTCGTCGTGACTTCATTAGCGGAAAATTTCAACTTCCGCGAGGAGAAAAGACTCTTTATGCAAATCCGAATGTTTCTGAATATAAAGAGAATAGAGTTACGATAGGAAGTAGCTTCTCGTAACACGTATCGTAATAATTACACTTTACATATATTAGATATTTATACTAATTAGATATTTATACTATCTAATATTAGATATATTAGAGTTTTCTATATTGCGTGTGCGTTCCAGTCAACATCACACTTTCGAATCTCGCGAACGCATAAAAATTGTAGTTCACATATCGTAGAGTAAACTTTATTATCCGCGTGTACTTATTAGAAACTTCCACGGAAAGAAAGCAAAAGGAAAGGGAGAACGCATCCCGCGAGAGTTGATTCTCAGAGTGTTTCGCGACGCCGATTAACGGCGCCAAACAACGCGCTGTTTTATTAAGCCGAACGATCGCGGCTCGAGCGTAAATGAAAATTAAAACAGATTAGCAGGAGCCGCTGGCCGTGATTACGCCGCGCTCGGGAGACGATCGTGAAAAATTTACGGCGAATTAAACGACAATCGCGTGACGCGGGTAGAACGTTCGATTCTAATTTTATCGAGCCGCGAAGCGGTTAAAAGTCGAATGGCGTTTTAAAACGAGCGGACTTTAACAAGCAATATCATGGCGGTTGGTTCGTTCGTTCAATCCTCTGTTTTTGTTTTCTTCAATTCGACCCGAGGTCTCTTCTCTTTTTCGAATTCGAGCGGACAGTCCGGTTAAATGAATTCTCGGCTCGAAATTATCGTGCGCCCGCATCGCGCTCGAAAACGGACAGGCAAACGAGTTTTCCTCCTCGTGTGCACGCTTGCGCCCGCGGATAAGCCGGCGTCAGCGAGAATGTCGCGCGTATCGAAGCGGGGACGAGGTTGGACGCGATCATTAGCGCGCGAACGAAGGAAAAATGGCGGCGACCACTGCGCGGCGCGGCGCGGCGGCCCGACAGAGACCGGAATGGCGATTGTTATTAACTGTACCGGCGCGATTATTGTGATACCTGTTACGCGGAAACGCCGGCGCATAAAACCGAAGGGGCGGCCGTGTAGAAAGTCGCGGGGCCGGGATCGGGATCCGCGATAAATTTCGCGGAATTTACCGTCGAGATAAATTGAATTTCCATCGGGCGAAAATAACCGGCGTCGTGTCTATAATGGCCACCGTTCAACGGGCCGCATAACTTCGCTTGTTTTATAGTCGGCGAGCCGCGCGACTAGTCCCAGACACGCCGGAATTGCCGGAATAATGATACAACCGACGGTACCACCTAAATCCTGAATGAACGACCGAAACAAGGAATTTTCGGCTTTCACGCTCGGCGGTGGTTGGCTCGGGGATTCTTAGCAGCGACGCTCGACGCCGTGATAAATGTTATTTACTATTCGAACAATGAAACTACATTGATGTTGAAATTGAATACTTCTGCTTGGATGGTTGGCTGAAATCGTTGGTTCGCTTAAGAGATAATTATGACCAGGTCAAACATCTAGATCAAAATTGCCGTCTGAAACTAAACGAGTTCCGCTGTGGGCTATAATCATACCCTAGACTAATTGAATCTCATCTCAATGAAACTAGAGAACATACCTATCGATGCACAAATATATAACCCAATAGGGCTGTTTAAGAGCCTAGCTTTCTAAAGCTGCAGTCCCAGCTGAGGTCTAAATTCCCGGTAGTTCAGTCCCAGTCTATAAATATACCCTAAACAGATTAAATCCTATCGAAGTTCCAGAGAACTAGTTACCAATGCATAGACGCGTAACCGAATAATAGGCCCAAGTGTCCAAAAGCCTGGCTCCCCGAAGCTGTGTTAGACCAGTCCCGGCCGGGGCGAAATTCCCGGCAGCTAATTACCACGAGGAACGTAGCAAGCGACCGGCTAATCGGAGCAGACAATCAAAGTGTCCGAGCGTTGTTCGACACGATCGGGCCCGTGGGGCTGTCAAACTAAATTCTGAGAGAGTGCGAGGCATCGGCCGGTGCCGGTGTGTCGAAAGAACACGGAGGCAGCCAGCCGGCCGGGCCCAGCGGTGTATCAACGAGGCATGGGCCTGTGTCTGTGCGCTCGCGCGTGTGCGAGTGTGCCATTCAACGAACGCCGATAGAGTAGTCTCGCGTGTCGGATTGGCTGTCGCCAGCGCAAACGGAGCAGCCGTGGAACGAGCCACAGCTGCCGGGACTTTCACTGATCTACGAGGAGCCGAGCCGGGCCCGTTGGGACTCGACTCTGCTCTCCGGGGCCCTGTCTCTCGCAGTCACGCCGCGTAAAATCGGATCCGTTGTCCGCGAGACCGGCCACGGGACTCCATTCATCGCCCATGGGCGGAGTTCGGCCATTACTTAATGAAACTTTTACTTAAATGCTCGTTTGTATGCGGGGATCGGTTATTATTCCTTGCCCGTGATAGCCGCCGCTCGCCCTCGGCATTCCAATTTGTTTGACAACCGACACAACCACGATTTCGAGAGATTTCTAAGACGATCTTATAATTCACGTTACACTCTACCTTTCCTTAGAGAAACAAACGTAACCTGCCGTTTCGCTGCATAATCCAGAACATTGATCAATCTGCACACAAAGATTATCTTTATGTCCCATAGATCACTACACCATTCCAGCGTATCTTAGATTCCGTCCGCGACCGTTCCTTTAGCCTCACGATTCCGCGGGAGATTCGAGATGTACGCGATTCCGTAAACGGCAGCCGTTCTAACCAGAAACAATACGAGACACCGTTGCGCCGGGAAACTAGACCGCGAGACAAAAGTCGCTCTCGTATCCTCGAATTGCCCCCGTCTCGGATCGCATGATTTATAGAAACGATTGACCCGGGTTCTGAAATGATAGCGGCCGCAGTAATGGCCTGGCCCGTGGCGTGCTCGCGGTCCGTTTATAGACATCGCTGGCTATCGGTGCTCGTTATTAGCTGCGGCGCGGCGGCGTCGTCGTTATAAATTCATGCCAGAGAAATATTTAGAGTAGGCAGGACGATAAAAGCGAAAGGGAGGGGGAGGAGGGGGGAAATCGAGAGAGCCGATACATCGGGTACGCGCCCCCATTGCACAGGCAAAGGATTATGACCCTCTCTCTCTCCCTCTCTCTCTCTCTTTCTCCCTTCCTGTCGCTCTTTCTCCGTCCGTTGGTACCGGACCCAGTGGAATTTCCGATCCTGGGGCCTGTTCGCGAGCCACCTTTTGCGACCATGTCGACTTTACGAGCCGTGACGAGAGCCCGGGCACCGGAGAAGGGCGCGGTACGTAATAAGGTACCGGCGCGGACCACGATAAGGACCCCCGGTGCTCTCGATACGAGTCCCCTGGGCCTGGCTGACACGTTTTTCTTCCCGCCGCGGCTGAATAAGGACGCGCCACCGGACACCGTGTCCCCGCGATTTTCGATTCCTTTCGAGACCGCCACGAGTCGGTTGATTCCGATAAGAGCGTACTGGGTACAGGTATGCGACGATTACTGTTTCAGGGGTGGACGGTG